ACGGTCCTCTGATCACCTCTGCATTTCTAACTTCGGCCTAATTGGACCTCAACAGGCCTTGCTTTCCTACTTATCATTGAACTACCTGATCTAGAGCTCTTTAATCTCTCCTTTTGATTTCTGTTTTGTACTCCCACCCCCCTTGTCTTTTTTTATGCATTTGATTACAATAAATCGTCTAGTCTGATTTTTTCACCCTTTTTACTGCTTTATATGCCTCTACCGTCTGGAGGCCAGTTTATTTGAAGTGCGTGATCGCTATTTGAACTCCAGTCATCATCATCATCATCATCATCATCATCATCATCATCATCATCATCATCATCATCATCACCATCATCAACATCATCATCATCATCATCATCATCATCATCATCATCATCGGTCCTTCCTACCTTTTCCTTCTCGCATGCATCAGTGAACTGTCTGACCTAGTACATCATCATCATCATCATATTATTATTATTATTATTATTATTATTATTATTATGTCCTCCTCATCATCATCATCATCATCATCATCATACTCATCATCATTATCATCAGCAGCAGCAGCAGCAGCAGCAGCAACAATAACAACAACAACAACACAAAATAATAATCATCAGCGTCCTACTCATGATCGCGAGTCAAGTTTCAGAGGAAGGACACTAATTCCAGGGGAATGCGCCTATGGGCAGTTTTTGTGTTGCCACTAACACGATTTGGAGATTCCGCAGGCTTCAGTACTCAAATTCGTAAGAGGACTTATAAGCCCCCTTAATTTAGCCGTCAGCTTTGCTGACATCAAGAAGAAGAAGTAGATGCGATCGCTGGGACAAAACTGTTATTCGCCTGGCGTTTCGAAATCCGCTGCGGATTCTTCATCAGAGACAATAACAGAAACGGGTAATTCATGTACAGGGAGTAGCAGTATTTATAGAATACAGTTACCATGCTCCTGCATAATTATAACAATTAACAACTCACCTTTCGAGGATGCTTACCCGCTTGTGCGCTAATTGTTTAATGGCCGGCGTGCGGGCCGTGACCTGTTGAACTTTCATCACACCTGGCGGAATTAGACGTGATGATTGCTCAGCCACCTGGCATTGGCGTTAAATAACGCGTTGGACTGTGTGTTCCGAAGTGGCGACTTGCTTTGGTCAAATTTAGTGTCAGTACCTACTATGGATTGGGTAGGTCGTTGCACGTGTTTATAGACTGGGGGCTCGTGAACCATGATTCAAACAAGCGGGCAATTATCTTCGATAGAGAAGTCTTTAATTGTCATGAGTGTGCAGTAGCGTAGTAACTGTATTCTGTAAATACCACTACTTCCTGGGCAGGAACTACCCATTTCTACTATTGTCTCTGATGAAGAATTCGCCGCGGAATTCGAAACGCCAGTCGAATAAAAGATTTGTCCCAGCGGTCGCCTTTTCTTCTCAATTACTTGTTGGGCCTCGCATTTTCACTTGTATTGTCAATGGCTGACCTCGCCAATACACGTAGTTTGTCCATTCAGGCTGCACCGGTCTGCGCGCCTGAAGTCCAATGTTGTAGATACTTAAGTCAACACATGAGCTGGTACGCCATCTGGGCTGTCGGTCGCCTTCTAGCCTGTTTGTCAAGGGAGCCGACGATTTGCGAATGCTTTAGTCGAAATATATATACAGGGTGTCCACGAAGTCTGGGTACATAGGGGATAAATGCATACCTTTAG